GGGGGGGGCGAACCGATACACGGAAGGAAAGCAGTATGACTTACGACCGGTACCCAGTAATAACACGGGCGCCGTTTGGTTAGAGAAACATCCCCTCCTTATTTATGTGGACTCGCGAGAAGCACAAAGACCAAACCGTGGCCATTTAGTGCGGAAGGAAGAGCGAGACGAGGGTCGACATAATAAATAACAGACGGATGTTAGATAAATAGGACCAGTGAGCATTTCTCTCTAACCACTCAACAATACATTATAGTAATGTGAATCTGCAAGTATCTGTTTTGTTTTTGTAAGTGTTTTACTGCATAAGGTCACATTCAGCGCCAGAAGATTAGAAGTGTTACAAGAGAGTAACAAACAAAAAAGAAGAAGAAGGGGAGATAAGGATGATAGATGTTTCACAGGAAAGAAGAAGCAAACCACACCAGAGCACCCGCCAACCCCCCACTGCCAGTATCTGTGCACGGGACCTGGGAAAGTTCGCGGTTAGTTGCCCGGCTTTCAGACACGACACACGGGCCCAAACGCCAAGCAACATGTACGTAATTGTGCCAGCTGTTCTCCCATGTGCGATATGCGTGTGTGCGTGCTTGCTGTACTCACACCACACAGGCACCTGCTCTTTCTCTCTGACTCCGAGCCGCCGCAAGCCTGCCTGGACTTTGGATGCCATGGTTACACGCACGTTACACACACGGGCTATGTGCAGGTGGTGGCTGATGATACATGATGTATGGAACATTACGGTTCCCTTTGCTTATATGTTTATGAACGGAGATGAGGAGAAGATGATAATATAATATATAAGCTAACATAGTCATGGTTTGGGGAACGTACGGCAGAGCGTTTCGTTCAACTTTAGTAAACACAAAACAATGAAGTAATAACCCAAGACAGAAGATACAGAATATGTGTATGAAGATACACAAAACAATGAAGTAATAACCCAAGACAGAAGATACAGAATATGTGTATGAAGATAAACAGTTCTTGGTTTCTTGGTCAAATTAAATAGATCTCAGCCTTGTGTGGGTTTTTTCCACAGTAAGCAGAGTACCACTGGAAAGAAAAGGTAACAGAAAAAAAGAAACAAATGCTAGCATAAAAAGCCATGCATTTATATACATATACACATGTACACACAAGTACACACATGGCAATAAAGAAGACAAACAGAACAACAACAACAATACCAACAACAACAAAAACAACAAAGTCTCAGTCGAGAGATGGTCCGGGAAGGAAACGTTAACATTCTGTTGTTGCACGCGTTGCATATCTATCTATCCATCTATCTCTATCTATGACGACGTCCCAGGCTCGCGGGCGTCTAGCGTGAAGGTTAAGTGCATGGCTGACACGGCCAACTGTCCGGGGAGGGAGCGGGTGAGAGGTCAAGCCGTGAGTGGAGCACAGTATGGAACCGCAGAGGGGAGTCGGTGCACACCGCTCAACTGGAAGATCCTGCTCTTCCCACTCATCATACTCACAGAGCAGAGCATTCCGTGGGGTTAGAGGACGGAGAGAAGGGAATAATAAAGGAAGATTAAGAGCGGGGAAGGGGATCGGGATAGGACACGACGAATGGACCGGTGGAATGTCCGCGCATGGGAGTAGCATGTTAAGAATACATGTATATATGTTTACATTAGAGGAAGAGAAAGTGCTTTTTCACGTGAGCGTGATCTTCAGTGAAAAGCAAACACATGCGCAGGCCCGCAAGTGTGTGTGTGTGTGTGT